AGGTTGTGATGGAGTGGAATTTAGACTGCGGCAGGTAGCGGAGAATTGAGTGCCAAGGCCCATCACACTTGAGAAAAATGTCCAAGACGTGCAGGTTGTTCTCCCGGAGGGAATAAATCGTTTTTCGGAGGGATTGTTTTCAACTCTCTGAGCTGTTGTAACTCCATATTTACAGTGAATACCCATCAAAGTTCACCATTGTCATTTTTGTTTTCCTCCACAGTGGAAGCAATGCTCAACTATTTGCTGCAAATGCCACTATTCGCGTAGTTTTCACGTATTCATCTATTTAAGATGCCACAATGGCTAATAGGAAAGGAGTAATTGGTGTCAAGGAAGTAAGGTTGCACTTCCGTATGCGGGAAACAACATGAATTGGGACTACAGTAAAGATCTGGATGACGTAATCGTGCTACGTTGCGTCTACGTCAAAGTCACTCATTCTCCTCGCTTCGCCGGCTTCTCTGGAAATCCGAGCTAACTTGCTTCGCGCCAGCTACGAGCTGCGTCAGGCTAGCTAGCGCTGGCGAAAGCCGCTGTGGCTTCTCTTCACCTCCATGGAGGTACAGAAGCGACATTTGGTTGAGTATGTCTGTCAAATTGATGCACCAGTCCCCTTATGTGGACATGTCGTTCTAACCCTGTGAAGTTAATTCTGATTCATTTATAATGTTGTTATTTTCCTTTGACATGGATTTTAAACGACTGTCCTGTTCTGCTCTGTCTCTGTTTTTGTTTTCAGCACCAACTGGAGTGGAGGGCGTTTCTCTTCAGCGCAGCGCCTGTTTTCTCGTCCCAATCAAAGCTTTGCACAGTCGGACTACCAAGTTGCCGACTCTCTGTCGGATTCTTGATCTTGCTTGCTGTTCTGCTCAAGAGATATTTTCGAGAGCTTGCGCTCATAGTCGATCCTTTTCCGGTAGTTCCTTGTTTTGGAAGTGTTTTGGTTTTCCCAGTTATACTTGTTTGATTTAAGTTTCGTCGGTTTGGGCCTTTCCCATTTCCTTTTGTTAAATTTGCCGTTTGCAAACACTTTATGGTTTTTCTGGCTGTTTGTCGCCAGCGATGTCTGTTTATAATTTGTCGGTCCTTCGTTTTTCAATAAATATTTTTGTTTGATAATTTGTCTGAGTCTGCATTTCCGAACCTTGTCAACGTCAACCAGCGTTTTATTGCAAATAATTTTGAGGCCCACCGGAGAACAACAGCCATAGAAAGTAATGGCACAACACAAGAGTCAAAGGGGGGCTATTGTGATGATTTACTTTTGTGTTCATTCCTGCAGTTAGTGGGCATCAACTCTGAGATTGTGAATGAAACTTCTCTCCACGATGACCCATCATGTTTTTCTGCTCCCTCCGCGACACCACAGCAGCAGAGGGTCATGCAGAATGAATAGCAATCTATGTTTGTCTTTCAGGGGCCAAGAGGGGAGCATTAACCTCCATTCATCTGCTGATTGGCCGCCATGACACCGGATCGATGCGGCTGTTTTTGCTCGCCCGGTAGCCTTGGCAAAAAGCCTTCGGCGTATTGACAGAGTCCTCCCGCCACCCGAGAAGTCCACCGGCTACATGGCGGGCGGGAAGAAGCTCTCAACTGCCCTAAAGGTGCAAATTGCCAAAATCCTCACATAAGCGCTTAAAACCTCCTAATAACGAGGAAATGAAAGGAAATTGTGTTTGCCGGATTGCATTTCTCCATTAGAATGTTTAATGAGTCCAAATGACATATTTATTTATTCCTCAGTCGTACAACCGGATGAGCATCGCGGGAACCTGAAAACAGACTTTCTGGAGAATCTCAGTCTGGAAGAAGAGTTCCATAAAGGATTACACTGAATGATGATTAGTATGTTATTCTAGCTGTGGAGTAAAAAAGTTATATATTTTTTTTCATAACGAAAATGCAATAACACATCAGACAAAAAGCCAAGGGTGTCCTGATCCTGTCCTATTCAATTTGTTTTTTCAGTCTCCAGCTGGAGAGTGGGCGTTCCCTCATGAGTCGTACCTGATACTAATCGTACCTTGTTACCAGCTGCCTATATATATTACGCTTCAGGCAACTGGCTGTTGGATTTATTAGCCTTGCTCACAACTCTGTCTCCAGGTGCTTAATTTTCTAGATGTTCTTGACATTTTGCCTCATAGCCTCTCGCCACGTTCAAGTATCTAAGTAGTTTTGGTTTTGTTACAGTTTCTATTCTCGCGTGTTGGATTTCCTTGTCCTTTGAGTTTGACGAGCAATTTACGTTTTTTTTCTCGTTCCTTGCCTTTTGCAAGCGTTTTTGGTTTTGTTTTTGACTTTTCCTGGTTCTTCATTACCAGTGTCCTTCGTTGTACTCTTTCTCGTTCTTGCATTTTTTTGCCAAATCTCTTTGTCTCTGCCTATGTTTGTGGAATCCAATTCTGTCCTGAATATTCCGGGCACCTTATAAAGAGGGCACTTTACTCTTTTCAAACATCCAAATAATAACGAGCTAAAAATAATATCAAACCAGACGTATGCAATCTTGTGTGATGCCACCATTAAGCTGAAACTAAACGGGCTCAAGAACACAATCCTGGAGCACGCCACCGCATCAACTATCCAGTCGTGACTTTCCCTGGTTCTCCCATCCCGCCTGCCCAACATTTCCTCCCACGTCCTGTATGTTTCATTATGCTGGTGGAATTGTCACGCGCATCAAAGTTGTTTTAAAAGTGTCTCGTCTTCTCTCTCTCTGGTGGGCAAGTGGCAGTGTGTTATTATCCCTGGTGCTGCTCTTCATCGGCGCTCGCATCAAAAGATGCACTTAGACAGCAACGAAAGCTTTTTCCACGCTTTGCCTCGGCTTGGCAGCATGACTGCAGAGAAGGGAACAAAGCGGACGACGGGAGGGGGAGGATGAGGAGGAGGAGGAGGAAGGATGAAGGGGAAAACGCACAGCGAGGGAAATGGTCGTGCCATCACGCTGACCACATGACCGCCGTTGACATTTGCTTTTATTACCTTTTGCCACTTTTTCCCACCCTCCATCATGCATCTTGACTGCTGCAGCTGCCAAGCGCACAGATGTGACAGCAGCTGTGTGTGTGTGTGTGTATGTGTGTGTGTGTGTGTGTGTGTGTGTGTGTGTGTGTGTGTGTGTTCATCTTCTTTCATGCTATAAAAATGATGCTACTTCTTGTCCCTCTTTGGGCTACTTTTTCAAGTCAAAGTCAGACCCCCGATGATTTTAAAGGCCATCTGAACAAAGTAAAATGTAACCCACTGTAAGAAGTTAACAGATGACAAGAAGGAAAAATACAAATTAAATGGGGACAAGATTATCTTGTGTTTCCATTCCTTTGTCATTTTTCGACAATGCAAAAGCAACAAATTATCACCGTGTATGAGGTATGTGCTTCACTCGGATCCCTGAAGATGGCGCCGTTGCATCACTTTGGATTTGAGATCAAAACAGCTTTTGAGAAGATGAACACTAGGAGGTGAAGTTTGAATTGTCATCTCGATGATGAGGGAGAGAAACGCCAACGCGTTGGAAGTCGGACAAGTTCCGGCACAATCACACTTGGAATTTAAATACGTAAGGTTTACACTGAGCATACGTTGAGGTAGGTACTACAAAGTGTGTGACAGAATCATGAGAAAAGATGACACGGTTCAAGGAGTGAATGGCAAATGCCAAGTAAAAAAAAAAAAAAAAAAAAAAAAAAAAGGCACAAACGTTCAACCAGGAGCCAAGCAGTGAGTCAGTGTCGCTCTCTCAGCGCTCACTGTATGTTATCATCGAGCACAAAATCCTCTGGGCCTTGAACTGTCAAAAGGCTCTCAAACGGCTGGCGGTAGGTTGAAATCTGCATGAAGCGAATGATTTAAATGCCATAAATATTTAGCAGAGGTCACCAGGCCTCACCTGTAAAACTCCACATGAGAACAGACCCGACGATAGCTGAAAGTTGACAAAAATGAATTTGGACCACCCGAGCCAATTAGTCTGACGGCTCTTTTTATCTTGAATAGCTGAACGCTCAAAAATGTTAATTCGACTACTATGTTATCGGCCTCACATACATGTTGCGACCTAAGGGGAAATTCCTTTTCCAAGTGGACAGCGTTATTGTCACATCCTCTATAAAGAAATGATCTGTAAAAGAGCAAACTCAAATGTTGTCCATCGACCTGACTATAGTCTGTGTGCATTGATATGCGTAAACAGCACCAACCCGGCTGCCAGTCACCACTTAAAGATTTTAAAGATCAGCAGGCTGGCTCGTTTACGCACTATTTGACTCTGTCCACTCTGCCATAAAAACTAATCAAAGGGCAGCATTTCGCTGCCAACTGTTACTCAGTAAAGAGTCTATAGCACCACAACCGTCATTGTTGTGAATCAAGGGTTGACAGCAAACGTAATTCCCATAAAGGGCTGACTTGACTGTTTCTTTGATTCCAAAGCACCACGTGAGTCATATAAATAGAGCAACAACACCAAAAGGGGGAAAAAAAAAAACACTAAAAGCCGCAGAGTGTGAAATTGGGATCCACTTTCATAATAAAAAGCTATCAGGCCGCGAGAGCAAATGTGCTAATTACTTTTAGTGAAGGAGCCTCTGAAGCGCACTGTGTTCATTCGCGCCTCCGATTGATTAGCAGCCTCTCACACTTCGCGTCACTCTTTTATTTTCTGTAAAACTGATTTTATGAACCGCGGCGGAGAATCAAGTCATTTATTTTTCTGCCATTAAGGACACGAATGCGCCAATGCACTTTTGTGTTGTGTTTTCATTTTGGGGGGGCTTTGCGGTCCCTCATAATTACATGAGTGCGTGCGTAAATGTTTCCTACAATTTACTACTTAAGTCGGAAAAGTAGAGGCGACACTGCAAGTGAAGTCTGACATGCGTTTTGTGTGTGTGTGTGTGTGTGTGTGTGTGTGTGTGTGTGTGTGTGTGTGTGTGTGTGTGTGTGTGTGTGTGTGTATAGGAGAAGGAAGAGGCAGAAGTTGTTCTTACTTTGCGTATTCTCGGTTGTCGTGATCGCAGCGGGAGTCCTTGTGCTTCTCCCAGTCCTTGCCGTGCTTGCAGGTGGTCAGCAGGACAATATCGTCCCCGTTGTGGATATGATACAAAGCGTTCCTGGTCTCCGAGCCGATCCCCGTCAGGTAACGCTTCCCTTTGAACACCAGCAAGTAGCGCCTAGAGGACGAGGAGGAGATCGGGGCCGCCGCGCCATTCGTGCCCCAGGTGCCACCCATGCCCCCTACTTTAAGAGGGTGGTCTTTGGAGAACAAGGGGATGGAAATATCAAAGTTGGGTCGGAAGTTGGCCACATTGGCGCTGGCCTTGGCCAACATGGCCTGGCCCACCTCAAATCCCAGATCCTCTGTGTAGTCCGGCCAGGTACCGGAGTAGAGGTTAAAAATGAGGTGGTTTCTGCCGTCATTCCATGTGGGCAAATTGTGGATACGTGTCCTGGCGTTCTGAACAAACTGGGCCGACAGACGGTCCCTGTCCAGAGTGTCCACAGCCAGGATGAACAGGCAGGCCTTCAGGGGGTCTGCGGTGTGGAAACGAGACTCCTGGATGGAGGAGAGTATCTTACGGTACGTAGCTGAGATCTCGTCACCCCTCTGCGGCGGGTAAACGTAGATGCCGAAGTGCGGCTGGCAGCGGGCGAAGTCGAAGCAGGTTTCCATGCGGCAGCGTTTGTTCTTGTAGAGGTTGTCGCGGACAGAGCGCCGCTCCCTGGGCGAGCTGTGTTGGTGGTGCACCTGAGGACCATCCTCCTGAAAAGTCCACGGAAAAACACGTCTTCAAGGATGCTTTTTACAAGGACTTTTTACAAGGATTTTTGTTCAAAATATAATTCCGACGGAATTTAAGGGTGCACGTTATGGGCATAGGTTATTTTGTTACTGTGGCCAGCTGGGGGCAGTAAAACAGACAGATACAGTAAACCACTGTTCATTTAAATGTTAATTATGAATCCCACTGGTGTTCTAGGCTGCCCTTCCTTTAAGCACTAGCCGACCGTATTCTAGCAGGGCATGTCCTGCCTACTACTCAAGTGGAATACATTTTTCAGCTCCTGTCACCTAATCGACATGGCACTAATAGCAGGCATTCTTTACAGAGGATAAATAATATATGACTGTGAGTCCTGTTGTCTACATGCAGGGGGTACATGGTGGTGGTCCGAATGAACTTCATTTCGTCCTGTAACCATTTGTATGTACATTTCCAAAAGTTCAATGTTTTTTTTACCTAACTTTCTATTAGTCTGACAGTTGTCCTCAATATCAGTTGCAACATTTAATCTCCATTTACTGTACTGTACCTCCTGTTCTCCTCCCTCCAGGTAGGGCCCCAGCAACCGGGTCAATTCAGTCCAGTGTCCGGGCTGTTTGGACGGCCCCCTGCGAGGCAGTGGTGGCTTAGAACTAGCCTGGTCTGCTTCTTGCCTCTGGCTGTAAGGCTGGTGCTGGTCGTAGTCGGGGTACCGGGGCAACTGGTGTCGGCGGTACCACCGCTGCTGCTGCTGTTGTTGTTGCTCAAAGTCGGCAATTTGCAGAGCCCACATGTAGACGAGGAAGAGAAGAGCGACCCCCACAGACACGAACAGGTACCGCTTCTTGGCCTGCATGTGTGCTGCGGGGGGAGGTGAGAGGAGGAGGTGGAGGGTGGGATCGGGGAGAAGGAGGAACGGTGGGAGGAAGGGGCCTGCTGAGGTGGACGGAGGAGTCGGGCTGGGGGATGATGAGGAAAGGGGAGGCCAGTGGGGAGGTTGTCTCAGGTCAGGTGGACCCACTTGGATGTCGCCCTAGCCACACCATGGCGTTGTGGGATTTGGAGTCACTGAAGAAGATTAAAAAAAATGTTCAATTAATATCATGAATATCGTGTATGCTTCTCATTGGAAACCTTTTTGCAATGTGTTATAAATAAACTGCTGTTTCTGGGAGTTTGACATTTAGCTTCGACCTGGCAAGCCCAAATTCCACAATCAGCTGTTCATTTGAAAAACAAGTACAAAAATAAACAATTAGTTGGATTAAATATCGCGACTGCAATGGAGCAGTCATGTCATGAGTGTAAATACCTTTTAATTTTCGATATCTATTGCTAAATATCTTTGACTATATGTTGTGAACATACCAGATAGACCAGATCGGCTGCTGTTTTGAATGTTTGGACATGTAGGTACACGTGCCAGGTCCAAATATTACAACGACCCGATGTGAACTACATTCTATACAGTTCAATTCAGTAAAGTTTTTGTGTCTTGTGAAGATGAATCCCACATTTTACTTGTTTTTTTTTCTCAATTCTATATTTAGTGCATAAACTGGAGAAATTCATCAGATGTCGATTTTTTTTTTTTTTTTTAATTTATGCAACATGCACCATGGTTTCTAATGTGTGCCGGGTTAAATATTAGTAAGAACTCTGAGAACAAGCACAATATGAAACATATTTTGCCAACTTTAGTTGTATTAGATCTCATTGAAATAATGCTGTGGTCCCTTGTGATCAAAAATGTCACATTTTTATTTTCTCTCCTGTGATGTTATTTGTAATATATTGCACACTCGATAGATGCTTCATAGTATTTATTTTTCTGCAAACGGGCTGAATACTCTCAATTAGTTCATCATAGTTTTTGCTCCATAGTAGGTCGTTAAATATTCTCACGCAAAAGTTATATTTAGCGCCGCTGACGTCACCGAAGAGTACATTTTTAGAGCCTACCTGTTTACTAGGGGAACACCTGTGGTCGAGGCAAGGCTGGATGCTGCTGCTGTCGACCCAGCAGACGGCGCGTGCATCCCCCCCACCCCCCACCCCTTTGCACGCACGCACGCGCGCAGCTAACCAAGCAGCAATTAACGCGCACGTTCATGCACGCACGGCGCGTCGGAATCCGCGGAGCAAAGCCGCCGCCGCCGCCGCCAGCACCACCAGGACACGCCACCGCTCCTTCATCCGGCTGTTCAACTTTTACTTCTTTTTCACGCGTGGAAGACAACAAAACGAGACTGGACGCGCGTCCACCCCGCCGGCATCGACACCGCCTCCTCCGCCTGCATCCATCCACACGCGTCCATCCCAGAGCAAAAAAAAAAAAAAAATCCAAACTCGTCACTTTTTGGCCGGTCGAGTCCTCATCCTCGTCAACGGCATCCAGAGAATCCAGTTACTGGATTCTTGATTGACAGGCAGCGCGGATTGCCTCGAGGTAAGTGACCGCTGCGCACATGCGCGCGAGTACTCTTTTGGATCGGCGCTGCAAACATCACCAACCCACCCACCA